GAATGAGCTCAACTTCAATCTCCGGGAGAGAAAAATGAGATAGGAGAACTAGAACCGGAGATATTTCCAAAAAACTGAAATTTGAGTCATTTTTTGCGTCCTATCTCCGTCAATTTCCGTCAAAAATGAATTTGACCAGGACAAAAAATGTGGGGAGTGAGCTCAGCTTCAATTTCCAGGAGAGAAAAATGAGAAAGGACCATTAGAACTGGAGATATTTCCAAAAAACTGAGATTAAAATCTCAGTCACTAAAGTCAGTTTTTGGGTACTATCTCCGTCAATTTCCGTCAAAAATCAATTTGACCAAGACAAAAGTTGTGGGGAATGAGCTCAACTTCAATCTCCGGGAGAGAAAAATGGGATAGGAGAACTAGAACCGGAGATATTTCCAAAAAACTGAAATTTTTGTCAGTTTTTGGGTCCTATCTCCAGTTCTAATTGTCCTATCTCATTTTTCTCTCCCAGAGATTGAAGTTGAGCTCATTCTCCACAACTTTTGTCTTGGTCAAATTGATTTGTGACGAAAATTGACGGAGATATGGCGAAAAAACCAAAATTTCCCTAATTCAATCAGAAATCCTGTGGTGAGCAGGGTCCTATGGACGTTGGGGACCAATGGGCCCCGTTTGTGAATTCGATTGGGGTCATTTGACATGAAGAAACGATCCCCGCCGGTTTTGGGGGTGAAAAATTTTTTCATCGAAAAAAATGGAAAGGGGTTAACCTTCAACCTTTCTCCAGCATCTTCGGTGTACAATGAGGCTCGCCCCAGTGTTTGCTACTTTGAACCTGCCTTCGCTATTATTCGAAATACGGTGCAGTCCACTACTGGGGGAACAACATTCAATGCAAATTTTAACTGGGAGATACTCTGTAACATGTCACTGGGGCTTTCTACCGTGTGCGGGACCTTGTTCATCTTATTGTTCGTATCATTTCGAGGAAAAAATTCCTGACTTTTTGATACTGAAGTTTGGGCCATGAATTCTCAGCCAAAAGGGGTGGAAAGAATGGTCATTCTCTAAGAATTGATAAAAATAAAAAAACTGTAAGAAATGGTATAAAAATACGAAGTGTGAGTGCCGCCATTTTGTTCTGTCTAAAGAGATTTAAAATGGTGGCACCTCCACCTCGTATTTTTAAACGTTTCTTGAAATTGTTTAGCCTCTTCAGATCACTTGAGAATTTTTCTTAAAATATTTGTTCATTTTCGGGGAACTGAGTCAAACGAGTTGAAGTTGATTTAAAGAAGACAAAAAAATTTGAGAAATGTTCAAAAATACGAGGTGTTGGTGCCGCCATCTTGATCTTCTTCGAAGGGCCTTCAAAATGGCCGCACCTCCACCTCGCATTTTTAAACATTTATTAAAATTATTTATTCTCTTCAAATCATCCTCAACTCGCTCCATTCGGCTTCTGTAAAATGAACAAATGTTTAAAATAATTTTTCATAATTTTCTGTCTCCCGAGGCATTTAACAATAATTGCAAAAAGTGAAAGACAATCTCGTAGAAACCATTTCCATTGCTTTATTTTTTAAGGAAAAACGGAATTAAAATTACTAAAAAAATAACTTGAAAAAAATATGTCCATTGATTTTTTCCTAAAAAAATATCTTCTAAAAAAGTGTCCGTCAGAAAAACATGAATAATAATCACAAAAGGTGCAAAAAATCTCCGGCGAATTCCCCCCGATAATCACCGGAACGACTGGAATTCCACCCGATACAGCCTTCCGAGAATCACCAGTAGCTGTTAAACACGCGGATAAAAATTATCACCAACACCCGATACCGGCTACCAGTTGCCCTCCAGATGTCACTATCTAATCTCCACGTCCGGTGACATATCAGGTCAATCGAAGGTATCAGATGCATCGAAAGTATAGCACTCTCGTGAGATAACAGGCCCCTGCCTCAACGCCGTGGAGCGAGACAAGCCCGATAATGTTAAATCCAATTACCTGTTAGTTCATCAGCATCAACATCGCGCGTAACGAGTACAGCGATGGTGTGAGCAGCAGGAAAGCCCCAAGCAACGACAGCTCCCACGGTTGAGAAGCCCTGTTGAAGCCCAAAGCCTTCCTCTTTCAGTGCAGCAGTGGCTGAGGAACGAATCCATCGCCGAGCTGCTATGCACCACCAGGTGCAGAGTACCACCCACCTAGAGAGGAAAACATTGACATAATTTTGTGACCCTCGTGGCCCTTGCGATCTTACGTATGCCAATGATTTTCTAAGGGTTTCCAAAATTTCCCATCACGAAACCATGTTTAAAATATCTTTTATAGCTTTTCAGACCCTTGTGACCCTTACGATTTTACGTCTCGAAATGGTTTCCTGAAGGTTCCCAAGGTATCCCATCATGAAGCCATGTTTAAAATGATTTTTGTAGCTCTTCAGACCCTTGTGACTCTCGTGGCCCTTGCGACCCTTGCGATCTTACGTCTCCAAATACTTTCCTAAGGGTTTCCAAATGATTTCCTGAGATTCTCCCATGTGAAACCATGTTTTAAATGACTTATAGCCCTTCAGGCCCTTGTGACACTCGTGGCCCTTGCGATCTTACGTTTCCAAATAGTTTTTTAACGGTTTCCAAAGGATTTTCAGAGTTTCCCTATTGTGAAACCATATTTTAAATTATTTTTGCAGAGCTAATGGCCCTTGTAGCCCTCGCGGCCCTTGCGATCTTACGTCTCCAAATAGTTTCCTAAGGATTTCCAAAGGATTTTCTTGAGTTTCCCCACTGTGAAACCATATTTTAAATTACTTTTGCAGAGCTAATGTCCCTTGTAGCTCTCGTGGCCCTTGCGATCTTACGTCTCCAAATACTTTCCTAAGGATTTCCAAAGGATTTTCTTGAGTTTCCCCACTGTGAAACCATATTTTAAATTACTTTTGCAGAGCTAATGACCCTTGTAGCCCTCGTGGCCCTTGTGATCTCAAGCCTTAGAAGGGTCCTGCAAGGGCCCCTAAGAGTTTGCAAGATCTAACATCCTAAAATCATATTTTCTCAGCCCTCCAACCCTTCCGACCCTGGAGACGATTTTCACAGACTATTCCGACTAAACATCATCTCCTAAAACCCGATCACCTAAATCAGTCATGCCTAATCGACCCCGACATGCCTGAAAACCCGTTCCACATGACCAACAGCATTGAAATTATCAATAACAAGCGTGAGAATCACTGCTCCCCATGAATGATGCTCATCCTGGCGTGATTTGAACCTGGTGGGGAGGAATTTCACTGTTCATACGTTGTTCGTGTAGAAGCGTGCACGCGCCTCTCGGCCAACACCTCGTCCTGAATAAAACGAGACCTCGTTTATTCCTCCAGCCGTATCCCTTCGTCCTCCACCCTCCGCTCTGTGAGGACGAGAGAGCGGGAAGATTCAACGTGAACAGACCAGAACAAAGAGGAGTTGAGAATCAGCCTCAGGGTAAAACGCAAGCCAACAAACCTAACAGATCTAACCAGTTCCCTCCCTCCACCCCCCTCCGTCTCGTACAGTTCAACCCAACAGGTTGCGTCCTCTCGTATCTCTCCTTTAATCCCTTCTCGACTAATTAATCACGCAGGTCGACGAGGATGGAGAAGTGAACGGGTCAAACGAGGAGCAAACACGCCTCAATCTCGAAAAAATATTCACTCCGTACCTCGTCGAGCCAAAATTACAGCTTCAATTTTTTTCTCAATTCCCCTCGGAAATTTATTCTCGTTCAATCCACTATTTATTTGTTTACTCAAATGATCGTGAACGTGATTAACAAGTTCCTCGAAAACTGGTTTCTGGCTTTTTTTCTCCCCCTCGTTCTTCTGGGATTTGGAGCCGACACTCGGGCAAAAAACCCAAACTGTGAATGATTAAACGATGTGTTAAGGGTTTGAAGCGATTTGTTGAGTTTCTTCGGAACTCGTCAGTGATGTGCATTTTACTTGGTGAATGAATACATTCTGCGTTTTATCATACTGGGTTAACGAGTCTTCAGAATTGTATGAACAAACTGCAGTTGAAATGTTCAAAAAAATAAGGATTCATCATTAATGATTCATATGCATTCTAACTTTGATAAGTACTTCACTGAATTTTTTCTGATGTTGAAAATGGAATTTCCATTTTTATTTTTTATTTTTCAAGACTTCTCCTGAATTTTGATGTTCATAGCTTGATAAATTCGTTCACTTCCGAGGAACTGGATAAAACGAGTTAAATGGGAATTGAAGAGAATAAATAATTTTAAGAAATTTTAAAAAATGCGAGGTGGTGGGCGGGATCGAGCGCCGCCATCTTGAAAGCCCCTTCGGACACTGCAAAATGGCGGTGCGTCCACCTCGTACTTTTAAACATTTCGCAAAATTATTCATTCTCTTCAAATCACATTCAACTCGTTCCATCCAGTTCCTACAAAATGAACAAATTTTTTAAGCCATTTTCGTAATTTTTCGTTCACTTTCGACTGACGAATTAACGGCGGAAAATTTTCCTCGCATTCCAGATCACTTAAACATTTGTTATTTACCAAATTCTGAAGAATAATTCGGAAATCAAACAAAACTTCGTGAAATTTCTCAATTATTTTTCATCAAAACATCAATTTTGTCAAACAGAAGTAAAAAAATATTGAGAAAGTTGTTCCCTCCTCTCCAAATAACAAGAACAAATCGATCCCCGGGACCCCCCAACATGTTGGGAAGCACTCAAGACCGAAAAATCAAACGAACTACCGAGGCCTCAGCAAACACATCCCCAAGAAACTCTCCTATACCTCAAACTCCCCCAGACAAGTGTAAACTCGAGAGTGCCTGGTTACCAGGAGCATACGCTCGTTCACGCCTTCTGGAATTTCATCTCGACACCTCCCCTGTCACTCTCGCATTAACATACCCCAGTAACCGTCTCCCGGAGTTCATAAAAAAAATCATCGAGAAATCTCTAATTAATTTTTTACAGCCAAAAATAATTCAAACGTAAATGAGAAGAAGAATTAATAAAAAAAACCATAAAAACGCCAATTAATTTTCTCCCCTCGATTGAGCTCAGTCATCTCCACTAACTAATTATTCCGATCAAAATCCACAACGTCTGAGAGACGTCTCGTCAACGAGCTCGTTACAAACCTGTAATTTATAATTACATTAAAAAATAATTGGCACTTTATACACGTGATGGGTATGTGCGTGTCTGATATAATAAACAAGAGGTCGAAGTACCTGTACATGCAATACACGCACTCGAGCATCATTCGACGTGGAGTTGGCTCCCATGTACATGCAGAACCAGTATATACCATGATTGCAGGTTCGCCCAAGTTTGTATGTACGAAGGGGCGAGGAATAAATCGCCCCCTGGTAATTATTTGCGGTAATCATCAACTTGTTTGCTCATGCGCACCTATCACACGACGAAAAATAATAGCTTTCCTGGAGTGACCCACTTCGAAGAGGTGTTTAATCATTCATGTAATGACACTCTGACCCCGAGAGGACTGAACGTTTCCACAATTTCATTCTATTTTAATCTGTTTATTACATCAACAGCTGCGAATTCCCTTGAATAAGCAAATCTAGGAACAATTCCTATTAAAAGATCCCCTTCTTGCAATTCAGTTTGACTTTCGTATTACGAGTGGAGTTTTATTTTTACTTGGATATTTTTCATTCTGATTTTTAATCATCTGGACTTGTGTGTGATTTTATGACTTTTGTGTTGATATGAACCTATGAATTCAACTCATGTAAATTTATTTTGGATTTTAACATTTTTTTCAATCGGGGGTTTTAGGGGGCTAAGCCCCCTGCTCGCTTCGCTCACCAAACCTTATATGACCCACATATGACCCCTATAATCTTTATTCTGACCCTTGTGACCTTTATTTTCACCCTTATGACTCTTAATCTGACCCCTGTCACCTTTAATCGGACCCTCGTGACCCTGATTCTGACCTTGTGACCCTTAATTTGACCCTTATAACTCTAAATCTGACCCCTGTAACCTTTAGTTCGGCCGTCGTGGCCCTTATTCTGAGCTATACGACCCTTAATGTGACCTTATGACCCTTAATCTGACCTTGTGACCCTTAATCTGTCCCTCGTGACCCGTAATTTGACCCTTGTGATCCTTATAACGCTAAATCTGACCCCTGTCACCTTTAATCTGACCCTCGTGGCTCTTATTCTGACCTATATAACCCTTAATGTGACCTTGTGACCCTTAATCTGTACCTCGTGACCCTTAATCTGACCTTGTGACCCTTAATCTGTCCTTCGTGACCCTCAATTTGACCCTTGCGACCTTTATAAGTCTTAATCTGAACCCTGTCACCTTTAATCCGACCCTTGTGACCCTCAATCGTAGTCTTAATTTTGAGTACCAAATTTTTATCACCAAAAGTCGATTTGTATTTTTATATTACAGAGAGATTTTGATAATTAAAGATTTGTTATTCTCTCTGCCCACAATTCTTTATGACCCGCGAGTTCCTCATCCACATATTTGGACTCCAGCCGATGCGAAAAAGGTCCCGAAACTGCAGGAAGATTCACCGATCTGATTAATCAGGCGAATACGAAACGACGTTGAAATTTCATGTTTGAGTATCCACACATGGAATCTGGTACCCCACCTTATAATGGGCCCGAGGGAGTTCTCCCGAGGTGCCCGGACGAAGGCAGAAGGTAGACAGGGAATGGAGCTGGAGCCAATCCCGTTCGTAAGGCTTCCCTCCGGGGTATATAATCAACGAGATGAGATGAGAAGGGTACCTAGTCGACTTTGTGTTTATGTTTGTTTTGTTAGTTAGCGAGTCGTCACGCTTTCAACTTCCCGAGCCCTCAGCTTCCCCTCATATTTTCTAGTTGAAGCTTTCATATTTATAAATCACTCGTGGGGGGGGGGGGGGGGAGAGCAATCATCGTTGAAACGAGATGCTGAGGGATTTCTCGGATAATTTTTATTCATTCTCCAGTTGAATTACTCGGGAAACAGGTGGGCATTGACATCCAAGTGGAATAATAATTGCGTCCTGCTGTATTTTTGCGGTGATACGTTATGCCAGAGTTGATGGACTAGACATTTCAATGGATCCGAAGGGGTCTCATGCCATCTGGACTTCTTCGAAGGCCCGAATCCCTTCATTTCCGTTTCATTTTTCTCATCGATATGAACATTCGTATGATTTACGACTGAATGAATAACGATTCCCGTGAGTTCTGCCGAGGGATCATGAAAATTTGATTAACAAGAATCTCGAATGGTAATTGGTAGTCAGCCTCTGGGAGTTTAAAAATTGAAAAATTGTCTTGCATGCTCTCCCTCCTCTCCAACATGATGGATCGGTTATTCTCCCTCTTCTCCATTCTCCACTCCACCCCCCCCCCCCCTTTTTTNCAACTTATATTTTATTTATTTTTTTCCCGGAGTCTCTCTCCCCGAGAAACCTGATGCTGGCGAATAAGAAGGAAAGGGAAACGTAAAACTGGCTGACTACTTACCTACAGAAACGAGCGAAGGGGCCCAGGGGCCAGACTCTTATTCTCTCGCACTGTTATTCCATTGGCGTAGAGTTGGGTTTGTCGAGTAACAATGTGGATAAAAAACGTTGAAGGAAGGTATTAAAAGACTCCAGAGATTCTTCATGGTTGTATCATTTTTTTATCGTCATTCCATTCTCAATATTTTGTCACCAATTTGATGATAAAATGATTCAATATCTCCGGTTCTTCAGCTTATTTTTTTCGTTATTCATCCCAAGTTGTCAAGATGATTGCGGACTATCTTAGGACGTTAACCAAACAAGGTATGCCTCAGCGGCATGACGAACAACTTTCTCAACACGTCCATAAATGCACTTCTCAATGTTTACCCTACTTTTTGCCCCAAATGGCGTGAGAGAATCTCCAACAAATTGTGAGGGAAAAAAGTCGCGAATGGGTGGAGTTTATTGATATACAAGAAATAAATAATGGTTGGGAAGAATGACTCGACGGCCGAGTGGATAGGCTGCGAGTCAGTAATCGAAGGGTCGACGGTTCAAATCCCGCGTGGAATTTTTTTTTTTTCTACTTTTCCCTGAAGCATTTATTTTTATTCATTTTTACAAGGGCATATAATTACTTTTCTCGAGAAGACAAGATCGATCGTCCATTACAAAATTCAATGTTTCACCCAATGACTGCAGAGTAACTAATTATTTATCTCGCCTATGATTGATGTCTTGAAATTATCACATCCACAAGGGTCACCTCAGCTTTCGACGAAAAATCTTCTCGTTATCATGGAATGAGGTAAACCAGGCAGGGCCTGGCCAGGGACTCCCCAGCCAAGCCCTACAACCCCATTTCTCAAAATTTCCCGAGCCCGTGAGCGTACGCCAATGCCCCGGGACCGATGTTTCGCCCGTGCAGTTGGTCCTTAAAAGCAAAACCCGAGAGAAACAAGGCGGAATAAAGAAGAGAGACGGTAAAACGCATATACACCGTAGTGCACTGCCATAATTTACATCGAAGGAGCCGATAAACATCGCGCCCCGCGGACATGGAGCCACGAAGCCGGGACTCCTCCACGAAGCCCTTTAGCACTCCCATGCATTGTCCTGTTCCCTTCTCTTTGCATCATCGCTCCTTCCCCTTTGTTTTCATTTTTTCTTCTTTTGCACCTACCTTGTTCCGTCCCCGCCAAACTACCTCGTGATCTCGTTTCAGTCTTTTTCGTACTTGCTCCCGAATTTTCAAAGCCCATCTTTGCAATTTCGTTCCTTTTTTTAAGGGGGGGGGGGGCTCTTTATTTTTTCGGGTCGTATGGCTTACAGCGATGTTGAGTATAAAGCACGTAGATTTTCAACGCCTCTTTCATAAACTGCAGAATGAGTTCCAATCAAAATAATCTTCGTCATCATCACTTCATGAAGGTGAGCTTGTTAAGAGGAAAGGTGATATTCTCGTCTGGACAGGGCCAATCTGCCTTTCAGAATGTTTGTTCAATCTTTTTCGGAATCCACCTACCCCTGCCAATGAGGTGATAACTTTCCGGTGAAATGCGAGAGAATATTCGTCGGAGTGGCGAGATAATCAGTCGTAAAACAGGGTCGGCTTCATTATGCATGAGAAGCTTTCGTGCAACTCTTGATTTTCNTAGATTTTCAACGCCTCTTTCATAAACTGCAGAATGAGTTCCAATCAAAATAATCTTCGTCATCATCACTTCATGAAGGTGAGCTTGTTAAGAGGAAAGGTGATATTCTCGTCTGGACAGGGCCAATCTGCCTTTCAGAATGTTTGTTCAATCTTTTTCGGAATCCACCTACCCCTGCCAATGAGGTGATAACTTTCCGGTGAAATGCGAGAGAATATTCGTCGGAGTGGCGAGATAATCAGTCGTAAAACAGGGTCGGCTTCATTATGCATGAGAAGCTTTCGTGCAACTCTTGATTTTCTCTTCGAAAGCGTTACCTTAAGATTAACAAAACAAAGGAAAATAAAGAAGATAGCGATATTTTCATCAGGACCTTTTTTGTAGCTCTTTTTTTGCTCTACAGAAATGATCTAGACAAAAATTTCGCTATCTCGTAAGGATTCTGAGATATTTGAGGTTTTTGTGAGCTTTCTTGCAGCTCTTGATTTTCTCTTCGAAAGCGTTACCTTAAGATTAACAAAACAAAGGAAAATAAAGAAGATAGCGATATTTTCATCAGGACCTTTTTTGTAGCTCTTTTTCTGCTCTACAGAAAAGATTTAGACAAAAATTCAGCTATCTCGTAAGGATTCTGAGATATTTGAGGTTTTTGTGAGCTTTCTTGCAGCTCTTGATTTTCTCTTCGAAAGCGTTACCTTAAGATTAACAAAACAAAGGAAAATAAAGAAGATAGCGATATTTTCATCAGGACCTTTTTTGTAGCTCTTTTTCTGCTCTACAGAAATGATCTAGACAAAAATTTAGCTATCTCGTAAGGATTCTGAGATATTTGAGGTTTTTGTGAGCTTTCTTGCAGCTCTTGATTTTCTCTTCGAAAGCGTTACCTTAAGATTAACAAAACAAAGGAAAATAAAGAAGATAGCGATATTTTCATCAGGACCTATTTTGTAGCTCTTTTTCTGCTCTACAGAAATGATCTAGACAAAAGTTTAGCTATCTCGTAAGGATTCTGAGATATTTGAGGTTTTTGTGAGCTTTTTTACAGCTCTTGATTTTCTCTTCATCATGTCGTCTCAGCACGCAGATTTTCAACGCCTCTTTCATCATCACTTCATGAAGGTGAGTTTGTCAAGAGGAAAGGTGATATTCTCGTCTGGACAGGGCCAAGCTGCCTTTCACAAACTTTGTTCAATCTTTTTCGGAATACACCTACCCCTGCCAATGAGGTGATAACTTTCCGGTGAAATGCGAGAGAATATTCGTCGGAGTGGCGAGATAATCTCAGCCGTAAAACAAGCTTAACTTGATTATCCAGAGGCGCGCGGACGAGTACACGTGCATGAGGCCCACAAGGCCAGTATGTAACGAGGGGCACCGATTAAAGGAGGTACCTTAGGTCGTACGATCTGTGCATTGATACCGTGGTACACGGGTGGAATTCTACAGCACCACTTTCGCAACGTCATTTTCACAGGCCCTTCCTCCCTCCTATCCGAACAATCTGAGGCGAGCTCGTAAAAATATGCATTCTGCCTCGTTTTTTTACATTTTTATGGTTTTCCGGGGGTTTATCGTGAATGAATTCTTTTATGCTTTGGGGACGGTCTCTTCAATTTACTTTTGTGCAATATTCTGTGTCGCACAATCAAGAAAATCCAGTTTACTTCAACTTCTTTTCTTCTTCAAAAACGGTTTCTTTCATAATTTCATTCAATCCAGAATGAAATTCCATGGATTATAATTCGTACGACTTATCCTAGTCATTTTTTTCAATTTAAAAATAATAAAAACATGAAGATCACAGGGTTGAAGCATAAAATTGGTGGTTCATCATGGAAAATTGTGTTTTAACTGTATCCACGTTTAATTATCGCACATTGACTTAAGTTCGAAATGTAAGTTGAATGAATTTGGGGAAATGCACCTTTATTGTTGACGTGCAACTTTACTTTTAAGGAGATTTTTAATTCAGAAATTTCTAAGGGTTTAAGGGTCATAAAATGCATTTCTACGATTTTTCCGAGGTTTATCTTAAACGTATTCTCTTATATTTTGAGAATACTCTCTTCAATTCGTGTTCACGCAATATTCCACATCGCACCTTGAAGAAAATCCATTTTACATCAACTTTCGTTCCCCTTCACCACCTGTTTCTTAAAAAATATCGTTGAATCCAGCCTGAAATCTCCGGGATTATGATTAATATAGCATCCCTCAATGGCTCCTCTCGTCTTCCCCAACCCATCAATTTACAAATCAACACGAGACCCCATTAAACCCCCAAACGATTGAAATTCGCACGATTTTTTCACCTCCACTCAGTCCAGTTATCCCCATCCATTCCGATCACCCGTTATAGAAGGGGAACGTGGAGCCCCGGAGAGATGAGACTTCTTTCAGCGTGAAGCCAAGGCGGGATGAGGGCTCGAGCGAGGAGATGGGAGTCAGAGGCTCGTTAGCGGTACGAGAGAGAGAGGCACCCCAGCACTGTTGCCAGATTGTTAAAGGTGATACCTCTCTCCTGACTCCAGCCACTCGTGGTCAATGCAACAGGGCAAATACCGAGGCCAACAATGGGCTCTCTATGCATAATCTATCGGACTCTTTGTTTTTGCCGGGATGAATATCATTAAGGACTCACCATGCGCTGGCAGCGTTGCCGAAATAGTACAGGAGAAGGAAGACAATGGCACAGTAGGGATTGGCAAGACCGTCCTGAGTGAGGTATTGCTGCTGTTGTTGAGCTATCACCACCTGATCCTGAGGGTGGAGGGCTATCGAGGGGGTGCATGCCACTGCGTATCTACCTGCTGCCAGACGTATTACGTAGCCGATTGACACGGCTGTGTGGCACAGGGTTAAGAATGCCATTGCATTCTCTATAACAACAAAACAACAAGATTAGTGAAATGGAGAAATTAAGTAGGAGATTTGAGGGTGAATATCTTTGAACCTGAAGGAGATGGCGAAATTTTCGTCTAGATGTTTTTTGTAGCTTTTTTTCTGCTCTGCAATAATGATCTTGACGAAAATTTCGATATCTCATAAGGATTTGGAGATATTTGAGGTTTTTGTGAGATGAGAATTTTTTGCAACTCTTGATTTTCTCCTCAAAATGACTTAAGGTTTTTTTTTAATTTGTCATTGCTTGAAAATTGATTGATATAGCTGTGTGGCACAGGGTTGAGAATGCCATTGCATTCTCTATAACAACAAAACAACAAGATTAGTGAAATGGAGAAATTAAGTAGGAGATTTGATGGTGAATATCTTTGAACCTGAAGGAGATGGCGAAATTTTCGTCTAGATGTTTTTTGTAGCTTTTTTTCTGCTCTGCAATAATGATCTTGACGAAAATTTCGATATCTCATAAGGATTTGGAGATATTTGAGGTTTTTGTGAGAAGAGAATTTTTTGCAACTCTTGATTTTCTCCTTAAAATGTCGTCTTAGGATTTTTTTAAATTTATCATCTGCCGACAATGAATAATTTCGTAATCTGAAGGTTGTAGGTCCAAGCCAGCCACTAGATTATATAATATTCTCATGTAGGAAACAATTTTTTGCTGTAAAAAATGTAAATCTATCCAGTAAAAACATTCGGAGGGATTTCATGATGTTTCATCATTTCTTTCATTAATACTGACCACCAATAGTCATCGCGGTCCTCTGTTTCCTGGGTTTCAATAGAGCAAAAACCGCCACAGCAACGGATATGAGACAAATAGTGGTGAATGCAGCCATCCACACTTCAGACTGTCGTTTCTCCCTCTGACTCCAGAGGATATCGGCATCACAGGCAGCTGCACATCTCCCGGATCGATTGAGGAAGACGTATTTACCGGAATTAGCGTACCAGGAGCAGCCCCAGGGGCCGTTGCCAGCTCCGACAGCCTAAAAATCGTCAAAACGTGAGATTCGTCAGGTCCGGGGACTCTGGAATCCTCTGAGGACGATCGTAATACCTGAATGGGGTTCACCGGACCCGGCTCCCCAGGACCCTCCATGCACATGTGCTGGTGATTGTTCTTGGGCGGAAATTTGGAGCAGTTGAGGGCCGCCGGCCAGGGAAATCCAAATCCCTGGAGAACCGGGTAACATCGAGCCCGCACTTGCTCGCAAAGACCTCGACACGGCCCAATTGGCGATGACACCTTCTCCGTGCACATCGGGGCGTACACGGAGCAGAGGAACAAGTGGAGTTGAGCGCTGAACGTGAAAATTATTGGGTTTCAGTGGATTGCGGAAATTATTTATCAGAACAGAATGAAAAACCGATCTTAAAGTCAGGTTTTTATTTGAAATTTCGCGTCTTGCTCGCTTCGCTCGTCAACCCCGAGAGGGGGGGGGCAAGTAAAGTTGAGCGCTGAACGTGAAAATTATTGGGTTTCAGTGGATTGCGGAAATTATTTATCAGAACAGAATGAAAAACCGATCTTAAAGTCAGGTTTTTATTTGAAATTTCGCGCCTTGCTCGCTTCGCTCGTCAACCCCGAGAGGGGGGGGGGCAAGTAAAGTTGAGCGCTGAACAGGAAAATTATTGGATTTAATTGAATTGCGGAAATTATTTATCAGAACAGAATGAAAAACCGATCTTAAAGTCATGTTTTTATTTGAAATTTCGCGCCTTGCTCGCTTCGCTCGCGAACCCCGCGGGGGGGGGGATTCGCTCGCTTCGCTCTCCCCCTCCTCTTCTTCGGTATGTATAGGTGTTCGAATTATGTGCAGAGAAATTCTCATCTGAACCTTTTCTGTAGCTCTCGTTCCGCTCTACAAAAAAGGTCGAGACGAAAATTCCGCTACCTCCTCAGGATTCAGAGATATTCACAAAAAACAAAACCTAAATTCAATTTTTTCTTTTAAAACACCACGAAAACGCGAATATCTTCATATTTTCAGTATAACAATCTGAAAAATCGTGTGAATAACGTAAGAAAATATCCGATTGCCGCAAAAAATCACAAAAACATGCTTGTGATCATATTTCCAAACCAAAAAATTTTAAAAATCGTGCGAATGAGGTAAAAAAAATATAGTTTAATTTTTTAAAAATTATTGCTCACCTGCATCCGTATTGAATAAGCGGACTGAAGGTCTGCAGGGTAAAATCCGCATCCCCCTGTATCTCATGCCCAACAAGATTGGGCATAGTAGTGACATTGTACCCCAATCCCCTGCACATTTCAATCCTAATGGGTTCACAAGCACCATGAGCGCACGATATGGTCCGCACAAGCATCAACAACAATAGCCACCACATGTTGGCAATCTTCAGCACCTTCTCCATGGAAAAATAAACCTCACTGTAATTCGCGGCACGCACCGATCCTGTCATGCACCTCAGCATCGGTTCCCCATCGCAATGATTTCCATCTCATGGTACTATTGATTGACGCACCGGCAAGTCCCTTTAATTCAATGGAAATCGCCACCGAGAAATGGCAAAATAGAAAAGAACTAGTTGCACTGCCATAGCTTCCGCGAAATCAGTCGCTGTGCGGCTCCTTTCTCGTGTTTTTTGTCAGTTTTTCCATCGAGCTGCGACGGATATTGAATACAAAGTGCCTGACCGAGTGGTTTTTCAAGTTTTGTGAGGATTTTCCGGAAATTACGATCCCCAAAACACGATTTTATTACATTAAAATCGTCTAATCCACGCGATAACAAGCCGATAACACTCGAGAATACATAACGATGCTCATGAAGATGATAAACACGATAAAAAATCGAAGGTGAGGCTCACAAAGTTGCGCGGAGCCTCGACGAACGGCCGAGAGCGACTGACCTTCTCGTTCTCGCGTCTCGTCGACTCGTGAGGGTCTCCCGCGCGGCGGTGGAGGGCAAGGGACCCCACTCCCCCCCCCCTCGCCCCGCCGGGCCCTTCCAGACCCCATCGCCGCAGTCACGGTTGTTCGAATGCTTATACGCCTGTATAATACGTACACATAAAGTTTTGTGGCCCCTCTCGTCGATATGCGGGAATAGTAGCTGAGGTACTGAGTGAAAAGTTTATGGGTTTAGTTTGCATACCGATGATAGAATGGCAAAAAATAAGTTTCCGAAGAGTATTTCACCATTTCTGGAGAGGATTCGGCAATTATTTTACTCCGATTGCGCTGGGAAAACATTGGGCCGTGAATTCTCAGGCGAGAGGGGATGGAAAAATATGAAAAAGGGCTGAAAAAGTTTGTTCATTCTATAGAAAAGGGATGAAACGAGTTTGGGGTGATTTGATGAGGATAAATAGTTTTAAGGAATGTTTGAAAATGCGAGGTGGAGAGGTCGCCATCTTAGAAAGGCTCCTTGGGCAGAGCAAGATGGCGACGTTCTCACCTGCCGACCACCTCGCATTTTTCCATAGTTCTCAAAATTAGTTGCCCTCTCCGAATCACCTCTAACTCGTTTCATTCTGCTCCTAGAAAGTGAACAAATTTTTCAAGCTATTCTACAGATTTTTTCATCACCTCTTTGCCTCTCAATCAACATTGTTATTATAAGCACGACGATGAATCTTACAAACACCTCGGGGGTATTGATGGTGCGAGGTCAATTGGATAGAATTGGATTCTCAGACGAGGGGATAGAAAAATCTGAAAAAGAGCTGAAAATTTTGTTCATTTTATAGAAACCGGATGGAGCCAGTTGAGGATGATTTAGTGAGATTAAATAGTTTTAAGGCTTGTTTAAAAATGCCAGGTGGAGACGCCGCCATCTTCGAAGCTCCTCAGGCACAGCAAGATGGCGACGTTCTCACCTGTCAACCACCTCGCATTTTTCCATAGTTCTCAAAATTATTTGGCCTCTCCGAATCACCTCTAACTCGTTTCATTCTGCTCCTTGAAAGTGAACAAATTTTTCAAGCTATTCTACAGATTTTTTCATCACCTCTTTGCCTCTCAATCAACATTGTTATTATATTAGCAATGGTCACGACTGCACAAATTAAATGCATAAATAATAAATAAAAATATCATCTCCATGCGTAACAAGGCGGAAGATATCTTTCATCTAAAATTATGATAAGCACACACGATGTTTAATCCCGCAAACACCTCGGGGGTATTGTCGGTGCGAGGCGAATTGGATAGAGCAGGCGCGAGTCAAGAAGGCGATGATATCCCCCCCCCATTTAGCGCAACTCTGCATCTCGTGCCGCAAATAGAATAATCGCTGTTCCTCGTACGTTTATGTACACACTTGAGTCTGAGTACACCGTGGCGGAGTCGAGATTAATTGGCGTCCACTGCCGTCACGGGAGGGTAAAAGGTAGAATGAAGAAACAAAAGGTCCGCCGTCGGAAGGAACCAAAAGTAGAGGAGGGAAAGGGGATTAAAGTATAACCCTATTGTTTACATAGCCGAGTAATAATAAATTTTCGTTTGGGGGAGCAGAAAACGAGGGAGGCGACCCAGAGATGCGGATAATAAATGCTCTCGGCGGAACGAGTAGCAGCCGGAGGATTCCTCGCGGCCTCCCCCCCCCCCCCCCCCCCCCCC